CCCCCCCCCGCCTCGCCTCAGAAGTGGTTATAGAATCCAGGAGTCATGATTCCCTGTCCTGGCACTGGATCAGACTCCTTCCCAGGACTACCAGTGGAACCCAGGAATTCTAAATCTCAATTTCCACTTAGCACACCAGAACAAATTCCCCCCGACAAAACTGAGCATAGAACCCAGGAGTCCTGATGCAAAGCTGCCTGCCTGAACCACTAGATCTTCCTTCCTTTAATAAATGACTGTTCTCTTCACCCCTTATATTGAACAACCCTGTCTAGAAGTATCTTCTGAAGAGTGGTTGGCAGCCCTGCTTCTTATTGCTTTTAACAGTCGGGTTAAAAGAATGGTTCTGCGATGCTCTGACGTGGCATGTCAAACCATTGTATCCTGTCTGAGGTTGCATTCTTGCTTCATGATATTGTGTCATGTGGCCTGAAATTCATTTGGGGGGTTTTGTTTGCCCTTGGGCCTTGCAAGTGGCAAACAAGCCCCCTGGCAGTTGGAGTGGAAGGAGATTCTAAAAGAAGATTGAGTGAGAGGTGCACCTGGAAACATGGGGGCTCTGTGTGCTGAGCTAAAAGACAAGCAGTAGAAACTGGTGGGGCCAATGAGAGGCAATATCCCTCAAATGCATTAAGAACCTCCATCCCTCTTCTAGCACAGTCCTCAGAAGAGCTCCCTATTTGTAACTATTACTAGGTTCTGTTTTTATTAAGAAACCCCAATCTCTGGCCAGGTTTGCTGAGGCCCATGCACCTTTGGCCAATCCAGTGGCCAAGCTTCAGGAGATCTGGGTTCAGTTGATAGTTTTCATGGGAAGCCATTGGAAATGTGTTTCTCCTTGTGGGTTTTTTTACCAAAAAAACAGGAACAAAATCAAGTATTTTTGGAGGAATTTTATTTTATTTTGGGAGTTCATTCAAACTCAAAATAAATTCAGAATCCAGATCAGGGGATACCAGAGGCATGTCCAGTCAAACCAGAAAGGTTCGCATTCTCCTTCCTGTAACCAAACCTCAGGAATTCCACGGGCCTCCCACACCACACCGAATGCTTCCCTGCCCCTGCTAGCCCAGTGTAATGTGCCATGTCATAAACTCTGAGAGTCAAAGTGTGCGAGACAGTGAAGAAGAAAGTCCCTTCTCCTGCTCCCCAGCAAGTTCAGCAAGATTCCCAAAGACCTGAGGGAAACAGTCATCCCAGAAAAGACTGAGACCAGGGCAGCAACCGGGACACTCCCCATGGGTTGAACTCCCAGGGACATGATTATAATAGTAAGAGATATGTCAGGTGTGTTGGTAAGGCTGGTAAGGAGTGCATCTCAGACACTTCATGGCTCAAGGGCTACCCTCCACAGTTGCCCTCCCCTCCAGCTGGTCTTCTACTCTAACTCCACCTGTCGAATTGCTTTTTCTGTAATGTTTTCATCCTTTGCTTTTCTAACAAAGGAGCCCAGCCCATGTGGTTACCCCCAGACGTTTTCACAGATGGACTCCTCATCAGCCCATGGCAGTCCCCTAGTGTGTGGATGGATGGATGGACAGCATGCATGTGGGTGGTGCATGGGGCTTAATGGGTATTTCCCAGTGCAAGCAGGAGGTGTGGTACTCTGGCCATGATAGTGATGATTCCTGTTGGTAGAGGGAGCAAGGCCTTTTGGTGACCATCTCTGTTTGGTTGCAGGGAACATTGAATACAGCTGCCCAGCCACCAATGAGTGTGAGATCACGAAACGGAGGCGCAAGTCCTGTCAGGCCTGTCGCTTCATGAAATGCCTCAAAGTGGGGATGCTGAAAGAAGGTAAGAGAGAGGGCACCAGGGACCTGGGACCACTCACTGCCTCCTGAGCTTGGGCCAGGGCTTGTAGCAGCCTCCAGACTGACTGCCTGGGGGCCCTGCCTGGCTTTCCCAAGGTTCAGCCTTTACAAAGGGCTCAGGAAGGGTAAGGGTCTGTTTCTGTTGCATGGGAAGATGTGGCTCTTTGAGGTTTAGTTTCAGTCTCCAGAGGGCAGAATCCTTATAATATTTTATATGGAGCTGCACATCTGACCCTCAGCGAGAGCCTGACCCATGATATTGTACATTCCCTTTCTAAAGGAACTCAGCTGGGGCGCATCCCTCCTGCCCCAGTGACTGAGCTGAGTAACAGTACCAGTACCTGTACAACTGGAGGGGGGAGAGAATTACTGCTCTTACTAATGAACAACCTGGGTTGTTGGTAGAGGAGGCTGCAGATGGTGCAAAGGTGTGTCAGAGTGCAGGGAGGGTGGGACACCTATTCCATCCTGACGGGAGGCTCGAAGCAAGTGGTGGGGAAAAGATCTTTGTCCCTGAGCAGGTGGGTCCCTCTGCCCTGCATGCTCAGCCCGTCTCTCCTCTCTCAGTCTATTGATCTTGTGCTGCTCTTTCCCCTCATCCTTGTCCATTCAAGGTGAGCCACTGGGAATTCAGTGGCAATTAAACACATTCGTATGGATTGACTTTAAAGCTTCATTTCCTTGAGCTCCCTCTGGGAGAGGAGGGGAGGAGAAGCACTGCTTGTAGCTCTCTGCATTGCTGTACCTGGCAAAGCACAGCAGCTTCAACCTAAGCCCAGTGAGCAGTAGCTGGCAGTTGTCTGTGCAGATCGAGCATGCTTGAGCCAAAGGTGCCCGCACTCCACACTGCTCCCTTCGATCTTCTGAGCCAGTGCTGAATTGTAAGCTCTTGCCAGGAGGCTCTGCTGCTTTGCTGTGGGGTACAGCTCATCTCTTGGGAGACAGGCTGATGGCAGCCAGTGCCGTTAGGAATGTAGATTAGGTTTTAAACCCTGGCCTGTTCTTTGATGGATGTGTAACGTCTGGAGCTAGATGTTCACCTACTGCTTGCTGAGTTTGTGAGGGCATGGCCAGTGTACTGTCTGACCATCCTCCATGGCTTTGCCTTAGAAGGTGATATAGTCTGAAGGTTACATGAGTCTGTTTCTAAGAGGAATGCACCTACTTTTGGGGTAGGGGTTGATCCCCTTGATACCTGGTCCTCAGCATTCAGTATTGCAGAGAATGAGGTTTCTTCTGATCCTCTTGTGCTGTTTTACATTATTGACACTTATTTCATGTCTTATAATACCAAATAGCTTTAGTGGCATAGTTCCTTATTGTTCTCCTTATAGGGACTGGCCCTGCATCTTTAAAATCCAGTGGGAGTTTTGCTACTATCATCAGTGGATCTATGACTGGACCTCTCATATTTTAGATATGTGATATCAAGGTAGCTCAACAGTAATATATGGGCATATAGTAATATATGCTAATGGGGAGGAGTCTGGTTGAGTGGTATGAAAACAGTCATGCTATCTAGGATTCCTGGTGTTGACACAGATATGCTGTGAGAGTTAAGGCTCGCTTTTCCACTCCATTCCTCATTTTTTCCCATCTGTAAAATGAGGCTCCTGCTGACCTGCTTTGTAGGGGGATTCTGTGGATTGATTAGTTAACTTACATAAAGCCTTGTGGAAATACAACATATTACATAGAATTCAATCAATACACATTTTTTAAAGTAAAATCTAAAAAGGAAAAAAAGTTTTGTGGTATTTGGTCTCCACAGAACCAGGAGTTTCCAGAAAAAAAGAAATCTATAATTGTTTGATGTTCTGCTCAAAAATGAAGAATTGACAGGGGATATAGATTATAAAAGGTTCATTGGTCTTTCCCATCTCTGATTTCCGTGAGCCTATTAGATCAGCCACTCCATCGCCCTGCTCTGACTGTGCCGGATTGTTCCCTTCTGTACATTTTTCTAGTGCTTTGTCCAGTCTAGTTTTGAAACTCCCAAGTGGCAGAGCTCCCCTGGGGAGATTGCTCTGGTTTCTCTAGGAGCTCACAGTGAAGAAGTGTATCTGGATATTCAAGATAAGTTTCCTTCCTTTTAATAATTTCATCTAATTACTTCTAGCTCTCCCCACTCCCTTTATATCACACCAAATAACACCTCTCTCTCCTTGGTGTTTAGCCCCTTCAGAAGTCTGCTGACACATTTCTGTCTCCAGCTGCCAGGAAATCAGGTAGCTACTAGACTGCAGATAGGAATCAGGACCTCTGCTTCTATTCTCTGATGCCCCTTGGGCCAGTTATTTTCTGTAATGGTTCAGTGTAAAAACGCTGGAGGGGTGGTGTGGTGGATTTAAGGGTGCGTGTGCCCACCACCCAGCAGGGGTGTGGGGCCCAGCTAGCCCACCACCGTAGTTTATCCACGGAAGATGGACTTAGGGGTGCAAGCTCCCATGCTTGGGCATGAGGGTGGGGCCCAGCGAGCCCACCGTCTTGAGAGTCTTGTGGGACCCCTGGGGGTCCCTTAGCCTCTAAGTTCTGACCCCTTCCTGGGTCCTGATAATGATAGCTTCTGCCCTCTAGGCCAGCTGGCCGGCAGAACTTGCTAATCAATGGAAGTGTAGGGTGGCGAAGGAGAGGGTTTTAGGGGGACCTGGGCCTGCCCTCTCCACCGGGCCCCAGCTTGGGGCCCTAAGGGTTCAGGGTGTTTGACCCCTACCCAGCTGATGGGGTTCCACTCCGAAGTGCATCAGTCCACAGGTGCTAAAAGCGCTCTGCCCCGGGCTGCTTCCTATCCCCCTCCCACACAGCGATCCCTCTGGGTTCATCACAGAAGCTTACCAGTCCACTGCCGCCTACAGTTCCCTCGTCAAGATCGCGGGCTTCTGGGAAACGCTGACTTCTCCTCCACTGGGGTGGGGTAAAGCATTCCCAGCAAGGCGTCCTGCGACTCCTGCCCTGCTAGCCGCCCTGCTGTCTTTTCCCCGAGGCTTTTCATGTGGCCCGCTGCCGGATGCTGCGGGACGTTGCTCTGCCCCCTCTGCGTCCCGCTGCTCTGGGGGGTTGCGGGTTTGGGCCGCGCGCCGCAGCCGTCTGTTGGCAGTTGCTGGTTGCTGCTCTCCAGTGCCGCATCGCCCCGCCCACTTGCCGGCCGAATGGCCAGGGTCCCGCTGGGCTTAGTGCGGGCTTCAGGGAGCCTGTCACAGGTGGGAATTTGCATTGGGTAATATTTAGGTCAAGTGCTTTTAAATCTTTGGGCATCAGATACTATAGAAGGGGAAAGCATTATTTTTAGTATTACATATTCATACCTTCCTGCTTGCTTGGCACATGGGTTAAATCTAAATCTCAGAGTGGGGATGCCTGGGGACAATAGGCAGAGGTGATACTAATAAAGCTGGTGGTAATTCTGAGCCTGCTCCTGTGAGGATCCAGAGCGTAATTTCCATGGGAACAGACTCAGGCCTCAGTTGGTAAGCATGGGCATGAGCAGGAGTACACACAGTCCCTCCTGCATCAGGGGAAGATGGAATGATTCAGTAGGGTACATTGGCACAACTCTGCCCCTTTAAGAGCCAGCAAGACTATCCCTGGGATGAACACAGCAGTGCGGTTTGTGTTGGCAGAAAGTGAATGAGAAACAGGCAGGAAAGGAGTCGAGCGAGAGATCAATAGGTATCTCACATATCCCAGGCTGCTTTCTTTAAGAGAGCCCTGATCAATGGGCTGCAGCCAGGGAGTTGCAAAGGCACCGGAGCTTTGACATCTCCGGTTCTCCCAGAGTGATGTTGCAGAGCGTAGGAGACTCTGGGGAGAGCACAACCTGGAAAGAACATGGTGCAGAAAATTCTCGGTGTAGGGCACATCCTGCTCCTCTTCCTAAAGCATTTACTTTTTGGGGCTTTCTTGTTTGTGAATCCCACTCCCTTTCCATCTAGAGCTCACCCCAGTTAGGACTAATTGGCTCCCTTGTTGGCAGTCTCAGCAAAGAGGCCAAGGGCTGCGTGGACCTAAAATGCCATTTAACGGCCAGAGCTGGTGCCTGCAGAGAAAGGCACATAGCCTGGGAAATCTGTGCTACTAGTCCTGTACTGTTCAATGTCACTACCTGAATGATGTCAGTTGGGAACCTTTTGCCATCTCCATCCATCACCTCTGTGCAGGGCCAGGCATCATCCTGGTTCCTGTGTTCCACCGTGCAACGACAAGAGAATCTAGAGCAAAATTCCTGTCCGTCCCCCCACACAGAACAGTAGAGCGGGCCCTGTGAAGGGAGAGTCTATGCTGCAGCTTGCAAAAGATGGGGAGTGTTCAGGACTGTGTACTCCCACGCGCATTCTCTATTTTATGCACAGTTGCTGCCTATGCTGCAGCTTGCAAAAGAAGGGGAGTGTTCAGGACTGTGTACCCCCATGAGCATTCTCTATTTTATGCACAGTTGCTGGAATGTAGTTCCTCCTTATCCCAGTACAACACAGGCAGTGGTTGCAGCTACAGTTTTACTGTAAGTGCTTATAATTTGCTACCTTCTGATCATGGATTTGTGGCTCTCTGGAGTGCTGCAGATGTGGCTTGTTTAATCCCTGTCTGTGCCATATCAGCTATGGGGAGAATAAGCCTTTGCTACTCATCCCTCAGTCAGCTGTTGTGTTTCTTTTCTAATAGTTCTTCAGTCGTGCTCAGTTTCTTTGTCTAAAAGTGGCAGAGAGGGATGTAATTTCAGCCTATGCTCATGTACATGGCTTCAGAGGGGGATTGTTTCCAGATGGAAGAGGGTTCAATAAGGTCTCCTAGCCCAAATTCTCCACCTTTCTGCTACTGTACTGAGGTCATACCCCTGTGTTTGTTGCCTCATAGGGTGTTGCTATGGAAATGACTGTTGTGTCCGCTTTCCCTGACGGAGCCAACAGGAGGAGAGGGTGCCAACCCTTTGTTTAAAAATAATAGCGTGAGCAATTACGAGACATGGGAAGGGGGATGATGTATGAC